GCGGGCCGGGTGGCGGGGGGGCGGCGTGGGGGGGGCGGCCGTGGCCGTGCCCTGGCTGGCCCTGCTGGCCCTGGCCCGGCAGCCCCCCGAGAAGCCGTCGGCCGCCCCCCTGCTCACCCGCCGGCCCTTCCTGGTGGCCTGGAACGTGCCCACCCAGGACTGCAAGCCCCGCTTCCAGGTGCCCCTGGACTTAAGCCTCTTCGACCTGCAGGCCTCCCCCAACGAGGGCTTCGTGGGGCAGAACCTCACCATCTTCTACAAGGAGCGCCTGGGGCTCTACCCCTACTACACCAGCCAGCACGTGGCCGTCAACGGCGGCGTCCCCCAAAACAGCAGCCTGTCCGAGCACCTCGCCCGGCTCCAGGAGGGCATCAGCAAGTACATCCGCTCGCCCGCCAAGGAGGGGCTGGCTGTCATCGACTGGGAAGAGTGGCGGCCCATCTGGGCTCGCAACTGGAAGCCCAAGGACATCTACCGGGAGGTGTCTCAGCATCTGGTGTACCAGCGGCAGCCCACCTGGTCCCGTGAGGAGGTGAACAAGCAGGCGGTGTTCGAGTTCGAGTCGGCCGCCCGGCAGTTCATGGTGAGCACCCTGCGCGTGGCCAAGAGCTTCCGCCCCAAGCAGCTCTGGGGGTTCTACCTCTTCCCCGACTGCTACAACCACGACTACAGCAAGAACAAAGAGAGCTACACCGGGCAGTGCCCGGACGTGGAGAAGACGCGCAATGACCAGCTGGCATGGCTCTGGAGGGAGAGCATGGCCCTCTACCCCTCCATCTACCTCGACGTGCTCCTGGCCTCCACCCCCAACAGCCGCAAGTTCGTGCGAGCACGGGTGATGGAGGCCATGCGCATCTCGCAGCAGCACCACGACGGCTACTCCCTGCCTGTCTTCGTCTACACCCGGCCCACCTACATCCGCAAGCTGGATGTGCTCAGCCAGGTAGGGCTGCACTGCTGGGATGTCCTCATCCCAAGCACCTGGGCTTGGGGGGACAGCTGAGGTGTTCCCTCTGCCCGTGTCCCATCCCACTCCTGTGGAGTGGGGTCGCTCTGGAGGCCGGCGGCTGCCCTTACGGTGTCACTGGCACCTCACGGTTTGGCTGTCCCTGCGTGGGGCCCTTTGGCATGGGGCCGCTGGTGCATGCGGCTGGCCCCAGGGAGCAGAGGGGGTGCCCAGTCCTGCTTTCCTCCTGGGGGGGTGACAGTGTGGGCACCTGTGGCTCAGCCCCTCCATGGGTGGGTGATGAGTGCCATGAACCTGCCCCTTTATGGGCAGGGTGTCCGGCAGCAGGACAGGCACCGATGGTCACTGTCCCTGAGGAAGTGCCTGGGAGGTGCTGCAGGATTCCTGGGTCCTGGCAGCCGGGACCCTGGGATACGTGAGCCCACAGCCCCTGTGCTGTGCTGGCTTAGCCCCAAGGAGAGGAGCGGTGGTGGGGAGCCTTGTCCCCAAGGAGCTGGGACAGTCACCTCTTCCCATGGCCTGGAGCAAGGATGGGTCTTCCCTCCCTGACCCCGCTGCAGGCTCTTTGGCGTGCACCGTGCTGGGGGGTGTGGGTGCTGCATGAGGGCCTGTGGGCACTAACCAGGCTCTGTCCCCACAGCCAGACCTGATCTCCACTATTGGAGAGAGTGCGGCGCTGGGTGCAGCTGGGGCCATTTTCTGGGGTGACGCGGACTACACCAAAAACCGGGTAGGTTTGGGGTCAGCGTGCCCCTGGGGTGGTAGCTGATGGGTGGGGGGTAGCCTGCCCCTATAGGGGGACCAGTGGCTTGAGGGTGGGGTGTCCTCTCTGTCTGAGGCGCTTCTCTCCCTGTGACACCCCAACATGCCCCTGATGCCCCCCTTTCCCCAGGAGTCATGCCAGATCATCAAGAACTACCTGGAGGAGGACCTGGGCCGCTACATCGTGAACGTCACGACGGCGGCACAGCTCTGCAGCACGGCGCTGTGCCAGGGCCGGGGCCGCTGCCTGCGCCAGGACAGCACCGCCGACGTCTTCCTCCACCTCAACTCCACCAGCTTCCAGCTGCGGCGCCGGGATGGGGACCACTCCCAGCGCCCCCTCTTCTGGGCCGAGGGCCAGCTGTCCTCTGCTGACACCCTCTTCCTACGGACCCACTTCCGCTGCCATTGCTACCAGGGCTGGCAGGGCAGCAGCTGCCAGGTGCCCGCTGGGCCCCGCAGCGATGCCTCTCAGCCCCTGGCACTGCTGGGACTTGTGGTGCTGTTGCTGCTTGCAAGCTGGCGCTAACCCCTCCGCCCCGGACTGAGCTGCCCAGGCACCCCCTTTCTGTGGTGGTGTAGGGGACCTATTTAAGATATTCCTACCCTGCCTGTGAGGCAGCTCATTATGGGGGG